AGGTTTTATGGATAGGTGCGTGTCATGGGGGGGGGCGACCATATATATATGTATATATGTATACGTGCATGCATGCATGCATGCATGCATGCATGCATGCATGCATGCACGCATGGATGGATGGATGGATGGATAGATGGATGCATGGACGGATGGACGGATGGACGGATGGGCGGATGGGCGGATGGGCGGATGGATGCGTGTGTGTGTATATATATATACATACATATATGTATATATATATATATGTATATATATATATAGATATGTAAATAAATATATATATATATATGTATATCAACGGCATGCATTATATGCATGTTGCAAAGTACTATATCCTTTTGTGGTTGCTTGCAGGCTGCTAAGGTCGTGTTGCCGTCCCACCCATGCCTTTGTTCCAAGACTGTAAACCCAATAAGGCCAAATGGAACCTAAAGGTGCCGACGGAATTCTAGATCCCGCACTTCAGCGATACAACCCTGGCAAGGTACATGGATTGCGCGGCAGCGGCCATTCAAAAGGCTGCCAAAGACATTGATGTGGACAGGACAGTCTGCAGAGCCTAGTGCAGGGGAATAATCTCACCAGTATGTAATAATACCTGAAGTGTAAGCTTGCACCGGCCTGTACCAGAATACCCCGCAACAGTTGTGCAAGCACTTCCAGTACTACGTTGCTGCAGTAATTAGTAAGTACGATGCATTAATGCAAAATACGGCAATGCTCTCGTGTGAATACTGATTAGTAGAGCTACAACTATATCGAATGTCGCAGAAGTGCACATGATGATACAGCATGTCGCACAATCATGCAGGCTGCTGAAGGAAACCACGATGTGGATAGCACTCCTTTCAGACAGGTCATATTATGTGAGACATTGATCGGAGCGTACCTCTCTGCCTCTTGCTCGGACCATCGCGAGCTCCAAGCATTCGCATTCAGATCAGGTTGGACCCTGCGATACTGCATTCAGCACCACCCAAGAGTGCTATTTTCCAAGCCCTCAACCTATGCACTCCTCAGAGACAAAGAAGAGATCTATACGGTCCGGCCCACAAAAACCATGATCCAGTCCTCACAGGATTCAATCGGCGTTTGAGCCGGATCCCACCATCAGCGATGCCGGCCCTTCCGTGCTTCTTGGCGGAATCGCAAACTTCAGCTTAGGGGCCAGAGCCATGTTTTCCAAGAAACGGGTGCCGAGTTCAAATGCAAGCACATACCTCCACGCAGCCTCCCTGGATGCGGCCACGTGCGTGGAGGCCTCCGAGAAGGTGTAACTCCAAGTCCTTACAAGGTGCAGGGCCTAACCCAACACCCAAAACCCTAAACCCACAACCCTAGACCCAAAAGCCTAAACCCTGATCGGAATCCTGAGCTTTGATTCTTGATTCCCTTGAAAGCCTAGGCTCCGAAACCACCCTGGGACTCAAACCCACAAGCCCAAGAATCGGTAGAATTGATGTCGATGCCTCAATATATCTTGATCCAAGATGAGGTTGGAGATTGGGAAAGATCTCCTTATCTTGTGGAAGCCAAGTGGATGGGCCCGGCCGCCCTGAGTTTCTCACAACTTCGGAGATCTCGGGTTGCCCGCAGCAGGATGTCTGTGGGGTCTTCAATGTACGGTTAATAAGGAATATACCATAATCCCCATAGTTTAGGGCCTTGAAGGTAACGCAGGATGTATACCATCAACAGTATGATATTGTATTCTGCTACAATCTATGAACATAGAGTATGACATTAGCAACTAATGAATATCTTTGCAGGAGGTTCTCTCGTCAGTATGATATACGATAATTACCAAAAATACAAACAATGAAACAAACAGTACTGATGTTACTATACCCAATACTGATGCTATTATATCGTAGGCTTTACGGTTCTTGGGGCCTTTCGCGTGCAGTGAGGATGACGGTTGCCTGGCAGCTTTTGAGTTTCGGTTGCCGGAGATTTTAGGAGTCGCCCAGAAAATCTATGGTAACATAGATATACAAAGCATAGATTCCTATACGTATACATACATGTATATATATATATACATATATATATATACATGTGTATGCTGTGTATGTGTAGGTAGACATATGTGTACAGCACATACTATGTTATGCTTACACAAAGCATGCCCACAAATATGTCAACCACCTTTTCTTCCAAGAAGGCATGTCTGAAGTTTGGTGGTTGAACAACCCAGCTGACATTGACGATTGTAAAAGCACAGACCCTTGAGGCCACTACACCCAGCTCTTCCCCTAACGTGGCCCTTCGTGCAACACTCTCATCTGCTTGGCGTCGGAGGTGGTAAATGTCAGAAGAGAGGCTTCAGCAGGCTTCTCGGCGTCAGTTTGCAGTGGGATTTTGTAACAAGAGAACTCAGAGCTTTCAGGGCTTGTGAACTGCACGAGGGGTGTCTGGAGATTGCGGCTTAGAGTGAAGCTCCTTGGAAGGTACAAGCTTAAGTGGGTAAGGGGCAGCCGCCCACACACGGACGGTTTGGGCCTTTGGGGAGTCTATACAGGGCTCCTCAGGCATATTGGTGAGCGTATATGTTCCGTTTTGTTCAGGGAATGCAAGTAATACAAGAACCCGCATCGATAGCGCTGCCACTTTGTGCCCGCCTGTGCTGCTGCAAAGGCTTTGCTGAAGAAATGCTGGCGGAGGAGCCAGCCGACCAGGCAAGCTGAATGTGACATCTTCTCGCGGATTGCAAGCTTTTCGGGTCCTTTCTGAAAGTTGTAGTTCAGCTTGATCATCCAGGCAATCGCATGCAGACGCTGGACAGATAATAGCATCTGCCCCTCACAGTTACTCAGTTGCGGACGCTCTCTCATTTGCACTTTGTATTTTGCTGCCGTTCATTGCGTTTTTTCTGTGTAAAACCCCCAACGCCGGAATCTGAGACTGAAAACCTTAATTATGGACACCTTCACGAGAAGCCCCAAAACGATTTACCATAGCCCATACGCCTAAAACCCTAAAAGCCAAGCCCTAAGCCCTTCAAGCTGAAACGTAAGCCTAACGGCCTCAAAATCCAAGCCCCAAAATCCCAAACCAGGACGCCTTGCCAAAGCCGAGCTAAAAGGCACTGTCGCGTAAAAGCACTAGTTGCTGCAAGAAACCCAAACCCTGCGGCTCCAAGTCCTGAAGCCTCATGACTCATGACGCAAAACCCCAACGCCAAAACCCTGGACCCAAGAATCCTATAAACCCAAGGAGGCTGAACTGCCTTCCAAGAGGCCGAACCTTACGAAGAAGCCCTAAATCCTCTGCCCTAAGCCTCTACCCAAAAAAACCCTTGAACCCCTCTCAAAGGCGTTGCTTTTGGCTCCCTGGCTCGCGCAGAACCTCGGCCCCGTGTCCGTCTCTCAGTTCGCGAGGGGGCTCTAGAGTGTAGGGTTTAGTTTAGGGCTTAAGGGGTAGGGTTTGAAGTTTAGGCTTTAGGGCTTGAAAATCGGACAGCTTTCCTGTGGGCTTAGCGAGTACCCTGTGTGCTGGAGTGGCTAATTAGGCGGCTAGCCGCAGCAGCGTTGTGTCAACACAGGTCGCCCATATCTGCGGATCCGGATGCCCAGCATGGCATCCTGCATCGCCTGGATGCTGAGACATCGGGGCCTTTGGTGTGCGCAACCAGCTACACTGGCTATGCCCTGGTCCTGGCCCCAGATCTTCAGCCCCCTGTGAAGAGCAAGGCTGCAAGACCTAGTGATGCGGCTCATACCAAGCATCGTGTGGCCTGCTGTGGCATCACCATGCTCTTTATTCGATGTTGCTCGGGGGTAGTCTCCTCGGTGACATGCCAGGCCATGCTACAGTTTGGTTCCCGGAATGTCATCAAGGACGGGCAGCTGCATTACGACCTGTATACTGCGCTGCGCAGAGCTGTGTATATGTGCTCCCTATCCCCGACTATGCACTTTACAGGTCCTTGCGGCGACAAGATGTGACAAGGTCCCGAGTTCCGGTGCTTAGCGACGGACTGCAGGAGTACCTCTGCCTTTGTCATGGATGGCTTTCTCCGCAGGCCAGTCCCGACCGGATGCGGAATGTGTGGAGCAAGAGTCAATCAGGTGGATGCATATTAATGTATGTGAGGCGAGATGGAGCCATGTGCGATAACACCTGCAGCACCTGCATGATGCTGTGTGTGTTCATCGAAAGGCCAAGATGCTGGAGCAGCCTCTGCAGTATGGTGAGCGTCAAGCTGCTGATTTGGAAGGCCACGAGCAGCAAGTCGCAGCGTCTCTCGCTCTTACACCTTTTCATACTTGCACAGCCTATGCGGTAAATGCATCTCTCGTAACAGGTCGTTCGGTGTTTGCCCGGGCGTCTTGCACGCATGACAGCTCCTGTCTCTTTCTCAACTCAGGCCAACCTACAACAAGGTTGCGAGCGGCAAAAACCGAGGCCGGCAATTCTGGCCTTCGTTGCTCATGTGATCTCTGCAGAGCCTATAAGACTTCCGTCTCTCGCGATTGCTACGCGACGGTGCAATTGATTCACTGCGTGAGGCTAGTTAACCTGGTGCCGTGAGCTTCATAACAGCATGAGCGGGACACTGACAGTGGTGACGCATAGTGTCCAAGCATGATCAGATCTTGTCCGTTGCCCACTTCATGGCGGAAACTGCAGTCAGCTTGGTTGCGGTCCGCCTGCATACTGGGAGGCGCCTCGCAAGTGTAACCTTCGATGCTTCGGGGGATGCAGGTGCCTTTTGCTTAGAAAGGAATGTAGATGAAGGCCTTGGTTTGCTTGTCCTTATATTGCATGAGTAGTTACGGTAACCTTCAAGGGGGAGCCCTATTGTAGAAAACTTCCCACTTTGCAAAAGAACACTAAATCGAAAATCAGAACCTCCAGGTCTAAGCTTCAAACTCAGTGTCTTGGCACTGGTAAGGATTTCTGGTGCCCGGAACCACTTTGGACTTGGGACTGTTCCCGAAATGAAAGGGGGCCTTCTCTACATAGCCAGGGTACGTGTTTAGGGCTTACATAGGGTTTAGGGTTTCATCGGAGCCCACCATCAAGAGAGCCCATGATCCCATTCGCTCCGTAGCAACCCGGCGCCAGGCGAAACCAGATTCGGGCCCATCTCCTCTACCAAGGGCACCCTCTCGTCGGCCTGCCGGCCAAGTTGAACATCTAGTTTCTTGTTCTGTGCGGCTACAGCGGAGGGTGCCTGACAGATCTTGCCTGTATGAGGATATTTGAGTGGGATGGGTCTCTGTCTGATGGCATGCATTGTGAGGGTGTATACATACATATGTATAAATAAATAAATAAATCTACATACATATACACAGAAGAACATATGTGGTTATGAATGCACGAAGGAAGGAATGAACGAGTTACTGAATCAAAGAATGAAGGCGGAATGGACGAGTGAATGAAGGAAGGAAGGATCGAATGTATGCATGCACGAAGGAACGAATGAATGAATGAATGCACGAACGTAGACATGTATGCATGCAGGGATGTATGTCTGCATGTATGTATATGTACATGTACATGTACATGTACATGTACATGTACATGTGTATGTATATGTATATGTATATGTATATGTATATGTATATGTATATGTGCATGCATGCATGCATGCATGCATGCATGCATGCATGCATGTATGTATGTATGTGTATGTATGTATGTATATGTATGTATATGTATTTATATGTGTGTGCATGTATGTGTGTGGATGTATATGTATGTATATGTATGTATGTGAGTATGTATGTATGTATGTATGTATGTATGTACGTATGCATGTATGTCTTGCATGTAAGTATGTAGGCCTGCATGCATGGATGTATGTATGTACGTCTGCATGTATGTCTTGCATGTAAGTATGTAGGCCTGCATGCATGGATGTATGAATGCATGCATGTATGTAGGTATGTATGCATGCATGTACGTATGCATGAGGTGTAGTGTATGTATTGACTGCTGGTTTAATTGAGTTGAGTTTCAAGGTTCATCTAAGTGCGTATGCACGTATGTTTTCAGGTATGAACGTATGCATGTATGTTTGTATGTATGAGAGTATGTATGCCTGCATGCATGGAGGTTGCATGCATGTGTGAGGTGTAATGTATTGTAGTGGCTGTTGGTTTCTTTGCATGGTATTCCAAGGTGCATGTATGTGTATGTGTGTATGCACGAGTCTATGTATGCATGCATGTATGTATGCATGTACGTATGTACGTACGTACATATGTATGTACGTATGTATGTGTGTACATGCATGGCTGCATGCGTCTCCATGACTCCATGTACATGTGTGTACATATATATATATACACACACACACATATATATATATATTCATAGGTCTTGCTCTGAAGCTGTGGTAATTTCATCGGCATGGTGTGCCTTGTCGCATGCCCTGTGTAAGGGTCGATGAAAGGCGGCATAATTCACATACCCGGACGGAGTGCATCGAAACGCATAGTGTCAGCTGAAGATGTGATCCTTGGTCGACTTTGATCTGTTACGCTGCCGCAAGGACAGGCTTCCACCTGGCAACCGTGTATGAACATGACTAACACGACCTGTTAGAGTTATGAAGTTCACAGTGGTAATGAGCCGTCATTATGGAAGATCACAGATGGACGAGCAGCCTGATGCGGCTCCATTGCTTTCTGTGCCACAGGCGATAAGATCTACGGAGACGGAGCGAAGGGCTGGTGTCGTCGGCTGTTTTTGCACAGCTATCGGTTGCGCAGGGACCTCAGACAAACATAGCTACAGTGTTATGATCCAAACAACGATTTCGAGGAGTGCCGTCATACACACGACTACAACCAGATTGGCGCACCTTAGCTTTACAGACTCGTCATCGCAGGCATTATGCATCATGTGGCCTGTAATTTCCAGCCACATCCTGGAGAGGTTGTCAAGCACAACTCTCCAAGGGAATGTATACCGATGAATATCCTAAACCTATATCCTGACGCCCTATGCTCTAGATCGTGTGGCGGTCGTTTGAGCCTTCCGAACTGAAGCACATCACCTGTGCAGGGAGACTATGGAGACTGTTTGAAACACTGCAAAGCATGGCAGTGCTAGCTTTCAGGACGCACAGGTGACCATGGAATTCAATGCGTCTTACATAGTGCTGTCACCAGCATAGAAGCCTTTCAAACGCGCTAAATTCAGACCTGTGGGAAGAGGTGACGGTGTCGAGCGACCAGGGAAAGAGAAGGATCCTGCATTTGGGCAAGACGGGCTGTGTATAGGGGGATTCCAGACACCACCATAATCAGTAGCAACAGCGAGACTGGTAGGAACACTAGGAACAAGCGTACGTTGAATAGCAGAACCGTCGTGGCAATACCACTACAAGAAGACTGTTCAAAACAGTCACTTTCGACAGCCCTCAACCCCAAACTCCTGTAAGCCTTTGGCCGGAGGCCTGGACATCGGCCACGGGCCCTTAGAAGCGGGCTGCGCGCTTCCGGACGACCTTCGGGCGACTCTGCGTTGGCCTCGAATTCGGTGTAGCTTGAGATTCCGGTTTGATGGAGTGGCTGGTGGGTGTAGGTTTTAGGGATGTGAGTCTTTGTGCTCGGCTGCTGAAGTGCATCCGAGCTCAAGAGAGACAAAGAAGGCTGGAACGGCCCTTCTTTCTCTGAAGGGTTTTGACAGTGGCAAGCTACAGTAGAAGCCTGAAAAGTCACCAATGCTATTCCTTAGGGCCCTGATTACGGATATACTAAGTAGACCGTAGACCCAAAAAGCTTATTCGAATTCTTAAGGCCCCTATCTAGAATCTAGATCCCATGTAGAACCCTTAAAGGCACCCTTATAATACTTCTCATGACTACAGTATTTCAACTTCTGTGCTTAGGTCGCACCTGGCTCCTCGAGATGAGCATGCCCGGCATTCGCAAGAACACTGGCTTCAATTTGCCTCAAAATGCTCCGAGCTCTGGCTTTCCAAAGCCAAGGGGGTTTCGGGCTGAGGGATGCCACAAAGGGCTCGTACTGCCTAAAAAGAACAACAAAATATGCATCATTTAGCGCCCAACGCACTGCATGTCTACATACTGAGTGACTACATACCATCGTCCGGGTCCATTGTCGAACGACGGAATGTTGAGACAAATGATTTTGATATGCCTTGTTCAAATGCTCTTTCATTATTCCAATATCCTACCATCTCGGTATCATGATATTTCTCGTTATCGTGTGTAATCCCAACGTTCCGTCGATTCACTAATTACAACAATGTCATCAGTCCGGTCAGACATTCGACCATGCGTTCGCGGAGCCTGTCCGTCATGACGCACCAAAGCGGCCCATTTCTGCACTCCTCATCAGTCCCACGGTTTTGCTAAAGTTGCTACAGGATGTTACAGGGTTCCATCGGCCTTGAACAACTTCAGCAGCTTAGCTCGCTTCAATGAGTTAGTAGGTATGGTGATTGTCTAGTTTATTGCGGTTGCGGGGGCATCAACATATTTTCTTGATGTACTGAGTCCCACGATCCTCCAAGTACAGCGTGTGAGTATGAATATGATGACTTTGATTATGCTCATTATTCTGATTAGTATTTGTTATTATTCTTATGAATATTGTTATCATCGTTACGAGTATTATTAGTGTTATTATGATTTATAACTCCTTATTTTATTTGGTATTATGTTGAATGTCTCGCGTCGTGCGTCTCGGCCCAGTCGCAAATAAAGAGACCAATGAATTGTTGGTGCCAATTTACTATAGTTTACCGTCATATGGAAAGATTGAAGGGATAGGATGAGAGATAAAATAAAGGAGAAGGAGACGAGGAAAAATTTGATGGCGGTAGAAAGAGATGAGGCAAAAACATAATTAAAGT